GTTTGTGTATCTGAAAGACACGAACACACACACATCATCAACTTCCAAAAAATTGCCTTTCTAAATGCAAATTTGTGGCTACCGTCGTCAAATTTTAGAGGCAAATCTGTGTCTTTCTGTGGTCTGATTATGATGAGGAACAGAGTTCCATCTGATGAGGAATAAGTCGATAAATTTATATTTTACGTCGTTGTACATTTATTTAAGACAACGGTATTTTTTTAATGTACCGCCGTGGATTCTTTTGAAATTATGCGACGCCAGATACGAAAACTTGGTCGTGGTTATTGAGGATAAAAAACGGCGGCTGTTTCTTTAAACCGTCGTCTTTACTTTCTACATCGGTTGATTCATACCTTCTGCTGTTGTTTTTGGGCTCCGAGTTTTCTCTAAGGAAAACCTTTTCAATAAGACATCGCTTTTTAAATTAGGTGTGTCGTGTTTTCAAAACAACCATTGGCATCCCCCTTTTTTAGGTGTTTAAGTTATTCTTTCATGGCGGGTTTATAAAACCGTCGTCTTTTCAAAAACAACGACGGTTTTTCATTAAACCATCGTTTTTTTCTGGTCGTCTTTTTCACTCTTTGTAGTAGTGATTTTATTGTAAAATGGGTCATCATGTAAATATTTCATTCAACTTTCAAACAAACTTACATATGAAAAATAAAAACATAGTTACTCTCGTTCGATGTTTTGTATCGTACACAATCCAACCTCAAGTAAACCCCACTACTATTTTACACAGATACCATGAATACATAATATCAAACATCAAATTGAAATAGATAAAGCACACACACCAGAAACGGTCCCCTCAAAGCATTGATTTTTGTCATGGTGAACTTCATGTGATACAAGTTCAACAGCCACATCAACAATTAGTCTTTTAGCTTCACCTACACATCAAATTATAGATACCGTTAAAGAAGATCGCACAAAATAAGTAGTCAATATTGTAAATTGATTCTTGGGTATACTAGTGATGTGCCCCCTAAAGTTGTACCTAACTTTTGATTTACCCTCTATCCTTTTTATTTTATTTTAAAAATAATAGAAAATTAAGGATATGAACTTTTTTTTTCCGCCAATTTCCCCCTACCATCTAAATCCGCAACATTTCATCCAATTTGCCGTTAAATATGAATGTAAAATAGTCATTTTGTATGTTAAAAATAAATAATAGAAAATTAAAGTAATAGTCATAAAATAAAAATTGAAAATCTCTCTCTCTCTCTCTCTCTCTCTCTCTCTCTCTCTCTCTCTCTCTCTCACAGGTTGGGTGGGGGTGGGTCTATTGTTGCCGCCCGATAGGAAGGGGGGCATAGTCTGGGTTTAGGTGTGGATCTCACTCGGCAAGGGTTAGGGCATTGGATGGGTCTGCGCTTGGGGGGGCAAGGCTGGGGGATGGGATGGGTCTGGGTCTTAGGGGCAAGGGCTGGGGATGGGTCTCGGCTAGGGTTTGGAATGGATCTCATGTGGGGATCACTTTTGTCTAGGGTTTTAGGGTTTATAGGGTTGCTGGAGGAGATAGAGTTGGGAGAGGGGGTTGGCGATAAGGTTGCGGGCTGTATTCTATGGGTGGGGGTGGGTATGTTGTCACTGCCTTAGAGGAAGGGAGGGATGAGTTTGGGTCTGGGGGTTAGATCTCATGGGGCAAAGGTTGGAGCATGGGATGGGTCTGCGCCTAAGGGGGCAAGGCTGGGGGATAGGATGGGTCTAGGACTTGGTGATAAGTTTGCTGTGAGAGGGTGGTTGGCGATAGGTTTGTTGTGGGAGGGGAGTGGCGATAGGCCCATGACATAGATGACGAAGAAGAAGTGGTTCTAGAGGGTCATGCGTTCAGATCCCGATTCAAGGATCTGGTACCACCACTGGTCCTTCTTCTAGAGCGAGAATGGGGTTGAGAAGTTGTGGATGTGGGCGGAGGCGGCAGAGTATGGGTGGGATGTGTGAATCATTTTGGGGCGTTTTCATATGTTTGGGGTTAGGTGTCTTGAGAGTTGGTTGGGCTGGTAGGTGCTGTTGGGTTTTTGGAAGATGGTGGTTGCTAGGCCAGGAGAACTCCTGGACGGGTGGGTGATGTTGGCGGTTTTTTACAATAGTTTTTAATGTTTTTTAATATTTTAATCTAATTTTTTTAAAGTTGTTAGCATCCATGTTGGATTAATTCTTCAAATATGTTTAGTTTCTAGCTTTTTTTAGGTGGGTTATGTAAGTCTTTAGAAGTCATTTTATAAAGGGGTAAACTTGTCTTTAAAATGTTGAGGATAAGGTGGGTGAAGGAATAGGACAGAGAGGGTGGAAATATCATCCATAAACATGATCAAAATGTTTTTCTCTATGTCTCTTAGCCTATCAATGGCCAAGTCAAATGGGTATTTAAAATAACAAATGTGTATTGCTTCAACTGGTAAAACTCTTAGTGTGTTGGAATTAGGGTAGTGGCTTAGTGGAATTGGATGGAATTTGGGGAGGAGGAAAGGAAGAGAGAGAGAGAGAGAAAGTTGTGCGAGTGGAGTAGTACGGTATCACCACGTCAGTTGACTTCCCTTCAAAATTTGCCATATGTATTATTTTATTTTATAAGAAATTAAATTTTTTGTTCTAGCTAGATTTGAAACTCCAATTTAAACCTTTGAAATTAAAAAAAAAATTAGCAGAGAAATTGTCCCAGCAACAATCGCTCGCACTCAATCCTCTGCCGTCACTCTGCCTCCCCTTCCTCTTATTCCATTCCTTTGTCTTTGTATATTTGCAATCAGATCACATCTTATCATTGCCCTTTTCTCCAATTGTGCCAAATCAAGCCCTTTTCTTCCACAAACAATACGGCGAAGAAGACCCAAATCCCATTTCAATTTGTTTATAACATGCATAGCAATTTACTCAATCCTGCAAGCATCAAACCCATAGAAAGTCTTTCAATCATGTTGTATGTGTTAGACATGGAGGTATTATAACCAATTTGGTCACTCCACCGGTCCTTCCTCTCTCCCCTAAAACTACAACTTCTCTTGAACCCATGGAAGCCCCTGCAAGATATCTAATTATTGCAAATGGGTCCTTATTAAAACAAAGAGGCCTTAATCATTATCATATTGAAATACTCATTTATTGTGACATTTTTTAAAAGATTTATGGCACAAATGGGCCTTCAGATTTACAAAATTATCACGAATCGTCCTTCTGATTTGTGTGTGACACTAATAGTCCTTCAGGTTATCATCTACCAATCAAAATGGTCATTTTGTTAGTTTCTATCAAAACTGAAGTTAAATTGATGTGCTCACCTGCCTGTTTTTTGAAATGATAATCTCATCATTCCACTACCCATTCGACCAAATCCAACCCTCAGAACTATTTCCCTCCATTTCCTCCTAGGTCCTTCCATTTTGGAGCCCCTATAGTATATAACCAATTTCTAAGAATTGAAACAATCCAAGCTCAAGAGAAAGACCAACAATGGAGAACTCCAGAGAAAGACCAAACTCATGGATCAATATGAAATATAGAAGTGCTACAAATTCATTATCAATGGCACATCAAATATAGAAGTCTTGCTACTAACTTCATCATCCACATCAGATTCATCGTTCCCACATGTTTGCTATGAAAATCCTTAGAGTTTTCCACATGATCTGAAATCTCCCTTGCAAAACTCATCTCTTCAGGCTCCTCTTCAATCGGATTATCTATATTTTCCTCAAACATATTATTATCGATCTCAATATCTCCAGCTTCTCCTATTTGCTCATAGTCACTGTCTATGAAGTCCATATCCAATGGATCTTCCCCAACTTCATCTTGTTCCTCTTCAACGTCATTGTCGCTTCGCCCCTCATACTTTACCTCAAAAGCCTCATTTTCCCCCTCAGTAGGTAGGTCCCTAAACTGGAACCCCAAATAGAGAGGAGGGCCCGGGGAGGAAATGGAGGGAAAAGGTTATATACTAAGTTTAGAGATCCAAAATGGAGGGACCGATGAGGAAATGGAGGGAAATAGTTCTGAGGGTTGGGTTTGGTCGAAATGGGTAGTGGAATGATGAGATTATCATTTCAAAAAATAGGCATATGAGCACGTGAATTTAACGTCAGTTTTGATAAAAACTAACAGAAGGACCATTTTGATTGGTAGATGATGACCTGAATGACTATTAGTGTCACACAAAAATCTGAAGGACGATTCGTGATAATTTTGTAAACCTAAAAGACCATTTGTGATAAATAAAAAAAAAGCTTTTTTTTATTTTTAATAAAAGGTACATCGAGTAAACCCTAAACCATACTGTGACATTTAAATTAACATCAAGTAATGGAAAGACTAAGAGAGGGTGGCGGATGATGGTGGCATCGCCATGGTAGGGGGTTGTTTTCACTTTCTATGTATTTCTATCAATTGTTTTAATTTTATTTTAAAGGGTAAAATTGGAGTTTCAAATCCAGCTGGAACAAATAGTTTATTTCTTATAAAAAAGAATACACATGGCAAATTTTGAGTGGAAGTATCACCAGCTGACATGGTGATACTGTACTATTCTATAATTTTTTTGTGGGGTTGTTGGGTTGATTTTTATTAAAATTCTTTTACTTCTTTGTATTTTATATTTCATGTTATTTTATTTTTCATTATTTAGTTATTTTTAATGTACAAATTGACCAATTTGCCCTCATATTTAATGGCAAATTGGATAAAATGTTGAGGATTTAGACGGCACATTGGTGAAAAATAAAAGTTCATATCCTTAATTTTCTAAAAAACAAAGGATAGGGGTAAATAGAAAGATAGGTACAAGTTTAGGGCGGCAAATCAACAGCTAAGTACAAATTCCCCCACAACTTTATGAACAGAACAACATATATCCTTTAAATTTGAGTCCAGTTACTTTGAAAAAAGAAAAAAAAGAAGAAAAGCAAACTAAAAATGCAAAATAAAAAGTACAATATTAATAATATATATCTAGTCTCTAAGCCTTCTTTTCATCATGTTGATGTGGACTGTTATCAACTTATCACCACATAGAGCTTATCTTGTAGATTGTCTATGAATCGAAAATACGCATATCTCCATGTCTTGTTAATAACTAAAGAACCACAGACTACCCAAAATCCTGCTATGAACCCCAATGCAGCGAAAATATAAAACCACGGAAGTTGATGAAGTCCATTGCCCACGTTTTTATTGTTCTTGTTATCTGCATCAATGCCCTTACTTGGTCCGCACTCATTTGGAAGTGGGGCACCACAAAGTTTTGGATTCCCCTTAAAGGCAGAACTATTGAAGCTTTGGAGCTGGGTGCCTGTTGGTATTGGTCCTTCGAGGTTATTGTATGACGCATTAAAATACCTCAAGAAATTAAGGCTCACCAATGATGATGGGATTATTCCAGACAAGTGATTTGTGGAGAGGTTCAAAATCTCTAAATTTTTTAGGTTAGATATTTGGTCTGGAATGATGCCGGAGAAGTTGTTGGAGTCAAGAGCCAACTGATGGAGAAGCACCAATTGGCTGATCTCAGCAGGTATATAACCACTAATGTTATTCTTAGATAAGGCTATCATTGGTGGATACAAAAGCAATTTCCGCGATGGATAAGTTTGAGTTGTGGTGAGGCCAAAGACTAGCAATTCAGATTCATATTGGTCTGCTTGTGATGCAATGTTAGGTTGATGAAGCAACCTTGGTAGTCTACAAAGTTGCTTTGGAAATTCACCTGAAATTCGGTTGTTTGACAAGTCTATATGAAACAACCTAGGAAGAGTCCCCAACCAACTTGGAATTGGCCCTGTGATTTGATTTGAACCCAGTGCCAACATCCCTAGATTCTTGAGCTTTGATAACCATAAAGGTATTTGACCAGTGAGCTTACAACCAGCCAAATTCAATAACCGAAGATTTTGGAATCCATCAAAATCAACCATGTCATCATCCAATGGCATTCCCTCACCCACAAAGCCATCACTAAGCGAGAGTGTGTGAAGACTTTTGCAACTCATCAATATCTTCATTGCCCCAGTGAGGTTGGTGAATCGGTTGAAAGCAAGCGAAAGGAAGGACAAGGAATGCAATGAAAGAATCTCAGCTTCTATTTGTCCATCTAGATTATTTGCAGCCAATCCAATGGCTTTTAGGGACCTACATGAGTAAAGGCTTACTGGAACCGTACCAGTGAACCAATTCATCCTTAGGTCGAGTTTAGTAAGTTGACTCAGTCTTGAGAAATCAAGCATGGAGATATCTCCTTCCAAGTTGTTGAATCCCAAATGCAATTCTACAAGGTTTGTGCAATTCATCAAAGATGGGGGCAAAACACCTTCTAAATTGTTGAAATCAAAGTTCACAAACTTCAACTTGGAGAGCTTCCCCAAATTGAGAGGAAGCTCGCGGCCAAAATGATTAAAGGAGAGGTCAAGGATGGCAAGATTGGTGAGGTTGACAATTTTATCACTAATGGCCCCATGTAGTGAATTGAGAGGTAATGAAATTTCTTCAAGTTTGGTAGCATTATAGATATCTTCTGGCCATAATCCTGAGAGGTTATTGTGACTGGCATGAAAAACCTGCAGTTTGGAACACTTCCCTAGCCCAGGAGCAAGGTTGCCACTGAATAAATTGGACGAAAAATCTAATAGCCTAAGGGAGGGAGAGGAATGGACACAAAGGGAGGACGGAACATACCCAGTGAAGGTATTGTTGCTGACATTGAAACTAGTCAAGTTGCTTCCTTGTTGGAAGAATGAAGATGGAATTGCACCAAAGAAGTGATTGCTGGACAAATCCACAGTTCGGATATTGTTGGATGGTAGAGAAAGTGGTAGCTCTCCAGAAAGACAGTTATAGCTCAAATCAAGGATCTCAAGTCGATTCAAAGACAATAAGAGCTGAGTTTCAAGTGAACCATATAGTGAATTGTGGGAAAGGTTCAAGTGGGTGAGATGCGTGAGATTTGAAAGTGAAGAGGGAGAGATACCTCCTTTGAGCCCCTTGGAAGGCAAGAGCAAACAGGTGACCCAACCATCTTGATCACAAGTGATGCCCTTCCAACGACAGCAATCAATGGATGTCCAATTTAAAGGAGGAGAAGAGAGAGTGGAGGCAAAGGACAGAAGGGAGCTGCGTTCAGTTTGTTTGCAGTCATGAATATTTGTGGATATAATGTAAGGGAATAAAAGGAAGAGAAGGAAAGCATGAGCCATTAGGTTATAAGCTTGCACTAGCATGTTGCTTTGTGTATGTGCCGTTGCTCACATGTATATTTTTATATATAAGAGCAAACGTGGTTGAAAAGGATGCAAAAATCACTGCAAATTGAGAAGTCGGCAAACACAACCACAAAATGCAAATTATTGATATTGAAACCCTTGGGCCACCAGGAGAGGACTTGACTGTGATATATGTGGTAAACAGAATCCCTGTTGAATTGAAACTTGAATTAATATGTTTTGACTATTTCCTTTTATTTTTAAGGTAGCTGATAACTGATACCAGCGCATCTTCCATGTTAATCACTCAAAGTCCAAGTTCAAAGTTGTTTTTCTTGTTGATGATTTTTCTAAGAACTCATCTTTGTCTTTTGAGTATCGTAGTTAATTCCAAGTATGTTAATCTAGACTTTCCCAGGATCGTATAGTATTTGACGGATCGTAAAACGGGGTCCCGGATACTCCAGAATGGTCAGCCCTAGAGCAGTTTTACTATAAACAATTCAGTTACAGATCAGGAACAGAAGAAAGAACTATGTGTGGCTTGATCCCTCAGAAAGGGTACGTAGGCAGCCTACAATTTCCAGGCGCAACCACGAGTTAGGGCCTTAGGGTTTGTGTTATTGTTTTTCAGGGCCTTTTGATCATTTACGACCCACAGTTACCAGGTGTCAGTTTTAAACAGGATTCGGCCCGGATTTCAAAGCGGAAATTGGGTCGGGTCGTTTCAGTGCCAGTCAAGCCTGATCTAACATTATACATTGACTTCCTATTCATGTTCAAAGTTGTTTTCTTGTGTTGATGATTCTTCTAAGAAAATTCAAAATTGGAGGATAGTCATTCTTTCCAAGTTGTTTGCCCCACAAGAAGGCAACTACTATAATAACGTTTCTCGGCAAAGAACCTTCTAAATTTTTGAAATCAAGGGTCACAAATTTCAACTTTGAGAGCTTCCCAAAAATAATCAGTGAGAAATCACAGCAAAAACACTAAAAAGATGCACATCGGATGAATAAAATATGGTATAAAAATGTGGTAAGCTTAGCATTACCCTATATATCAGTCTTTGAGTTGATTCAATTGAACAACTTATGCTGCCAGGTCATGCAGTCTTGAGTCTTCTTTCGTCCAAGCAAACGTCAACAAGGTATTGATATGTTCAAATGCTGACCAAATATTTTTGTAGAGAATGAATCTGTCACATGCGCTGTTGCGCTTCTATGCCCATTCTCTACGCAATTTGCGGGTCTTGGATAAGTTTAGCCATAGCCAAGGGAGAACTCTCTTGGGTTACAATCACAAAGAAATCATGTTTCACCGTTCTTAACTGTCTCTAGGGCCCTCGCTATTGCACAAAATGACAGGTTTATAAGCTGCCATAACCACACAACACAAATTATCCAAACCCCTCTGTACATCGAAGAGAGATTTCCACAAATGAAACAAAAGCGAAGACCTTGTGTATTTTAAAGTCTACATTGACTCCGAAGTTGTTTCGTCCTCAAGCGAAGATCTTCTTATACTGAAATATCATTTTTGATTTTTAAGGCAGCTGATATGTGATACCAGTGCATCTTCCATGTCAATCAAAGTCCAAGTTCCAAGTTGTTTTCTTGTTGATGATTTTTCTAAGAAAATTGGAGGATAGTCATTCTTTCCAAGTTGTTTGCCCCACATATGAAGGCAGCTACATTAAAAATATCACGTATCAGACAAGCATCGGTCATTCACAAAGAAGCCCTTTCTGCACAAATAGTAGAACATAAAATTAAAAAGGCCTTTTTCGTCCAAAAAAATAAATAAATAAAAAGGCTTAATTATTTATATGGCCCTTGAAACTCAATTTGAATCTCACTTTTCCACCTGAAACTCAATTTGTAACACATTACCTCTTGAAACTCAATTTGTAACACATTACCTCTTGAAACTCAATTCTCCATATCACTTTGCCCATATTCATTAACTCCATTGAAATTACTTATAGGATGACTAAAAAAGCCTAGAGGGGGGTGAATAGGCCAATTTAAGATTATAATCAATAAACAAAAATAAACTTCGGTAGCAGGATTGATATGGCTTATCAATCCTGAAATGTGCTGAACATAAAATAAAAAAACACACAGATGCTCAAACAAAATATGGAAAAGCTCTCTCGCAAAAAAAAAACCAAGAAGGTCACGCCATCTGTATACACATCTTCTCCTTATGTCAAGGGAATTGCTTTAAAGCCTAAAAGATTGATTATTGCATAAAACCGAATTGATTCTGTTAATTGCGCCAGCTTTTATGCATGCCTTCCTTATACCTTCCAATACCATCTCCTTATAAAAGGAAAGGATATATAGCAATATGAAAACAATGAAAAAAACTAGGACGTGCTTGCCAAGTTCGAGATAAAAAGGATATTTTAACTTTAAAACAAAGTAGAGTCCAACTAGGAAAGAATCTCAAGAGATAAAATATAATCCTATTAAAAATAAGATTAACATAAGAATACTTGAGTGAAAATAACTCCAACTAGGAATCCTATAATGAATGCATGATTATGTCATGATTTACCAGAAATCAGTTTCTCATATCGATCAAGGCATGCATTGAAAATCTGGGGTTGAACGTGTTGCACCAAAACTTCTATTAAACAACATTTATACACTAATTCCCAACCTATGCTAGCGTCTAGGAAATGACAGTACAATCTTCATACTAACAATCTCCTCCTTTGGCATTTCCTAGACAAAACACCTATTACAACTCAAAAGAAATTGCATGAGATTTAACAAACGAAATCATACTATAAACTCGAAGCTCTGAATTCCTGCACATTATGAAACAACAAAACCAGTGAAGCATGTGGGTGAAGAAATGTAATTCAAAACAAATTTACAACACCACTCCCCCTTAATTCTACAACACAATCTCTGTCCCTTTTTATCATAATTTCACACAGTCATTTCTCTCTCCCCTTTTTTGTCAGGAAATCCAAAGGGCAAGGAAAATACACAAGGGAGCAAATATAAAGGCATAAAGAAATCACCAATGTAATGCCCAAGAAGATGAAAAATAGGGGTATAAACTAAAACACAAAAATAAAAAGACCATAATTAAACACCAACGACCATGCTTAACATTATACCAAGACTCCTCCTTCATACATGTCAAAAAAAAAAATTCATAAGTACGTGCCAACACTATGCATATGGATAGACAAGCAAAGCCAATACCAATATCTATCTAGAAGCATTTGAAGCAAAGCCTTTCAGGATCTATGGCACATCAAATCACAAAGGTTTAATCAAACACATGGATTATAAAATGGAGAATAAACAGTATTTGTATGAAATAAAGTGCATCAAATGAGCAAATATTAAAGCCCAATCTCGTGTTATATGACTAAATTTGCTTAATAACAAAGAAAAAGTCCAACCAAAAGCAAGCCAAGAACATAGAATTAACACATACAGAATGCATGCAGAGGTCACCACTTTCACTTTTTTATTTTTATTTTTTTATTTTTAATGCTAACTTTATAAAGATTTCTACAAGACCCATGTAACGGGTGTCAAATCAATGTACTCAAGTCAGTTGACTTTAAGAGATAAAATTTAATCCTATTAAAAATAAGATTAACATAAAAATACTTGATTGAAAATAACTTCAACTAGGAATCCTATAATGAATGCATGATTACATCATGATTTACCTAAAATAAGTTTCTCATATCGATCAAGGCATGCTTTGAAAATCCGGAGTTGAACGTGTTGCGCCAAAACTTCTATTAAACAACATTCATACACTAATTCCCAGCCTATGCTAGCGCGTCTAGGAAATGACAATACAATTTTTATACTAACAATAAAAAATAACTGAGCATTGAATTGTGAAGAGCAAAATGTTGCAATAAATAAGAGTCAAGCCAGATGTAAACATGCGTTGATGCCCTATTCATGTTATAAAAATCTTTTCTATTAATTCATATTAGACTAGATATAATAACTTTCATGTATAAGTATAACCCATCGACCAATAGTACTGGTTGCGGTATTTTGGTGCATAGAATCACCTGAGAAGTATTTTATAGAGGTAGATCCATTCCTTGTGCACCAACTTAATATATACTTTTCGTTTCTTTTTCATGCTCGTTTGAATTGAACCCTTGTTTTGAAGATAATATTTCTCTCCGACTCCATTTCCTGGTCCAGCAACACCAAGCAGATCAGTTGGATCTTGTCGATTAGAGAGAATTGATGCTTCTTGTTAGAAATGGATCTCATCTGACTTTTCATTGTTGCTTGAACCACATTGTTGTGAAATTATTGAAAGCGCACAATTCATACAAGTAATATAGAAATAAGTAGAGTGTCGTTCCCACGAATACTGTAATTTCCTATTAACTACCAATTATGATTAATTCAAAAGTTTATTTGAACAGTTAATTAAGAAGATTGATTAATTCAAGAAAACTAAAACAATTATGAAAAATAACAATTTAATTAACGATAGAAAATTAAGATGATGAGACACTAGAGTATCCGATTTCACCATAACCAATTCTACTTAATTCTTATAGCCAATTAACCCTAATTACTATCCCTGTTGACAGTTGGTTTCTCCTAATTCATTCGATATCCCCTCTCGGGCTCAACCAAAAGTATTCTCAATTAACAACCCATTCTCTCTCGAGCAACGGATTTAGAAAACTAAGAACCCATTAAGTTCTATGAGAACCTACAAGAAAACTGCATGAGTCATGTTAGTCCCTCTCGGGCACTCATTCAAGTCATGGTATTTGTTACAAGAAGCAAACACCAAACATCTCCTCTCGGTCTCCGCTTGGATCATCAATTAAATATTAGCTAGATATTTAAATCATTAAGAACAGTAACAAATACTCAACATGGGATAATAATAAGGAATTAATATAACTATAAAAATTGAGTATTCATGGTTAGGCTACATCGTAGCCCTAGCAAGGGAAATTAGTTCATGACAGAAGAAAATATAAACAAGAGAATTATTGTCATAAAACCAATTTGGCCGATGGACTTGATCTTCAGAATCTTCACAGGAACACCTTCAAAAGCTCCTCAAATAATGCAGCAGCAAATTCTTGGCTTCCTCTAATATTTCTCTGGTTGTATGAAAGTTGGTGGAAAAA